AGAGCTTCAGCGTACGAACTCATATCCGTCAATATCACCAAAACATGTTTTTCGCATTGATATGCCAAGTATTCGGCCGTCGTCAAGGCTATTCTGGGCGTGATAATTCTCTCTATCGTGGGATCGTTTGCCAAATTAAGAAATAGGCAAACATTTTCCATTGAGCCATTTTCTTTAAAGTCTTGCATAAAAAATCTTGCGGTTTCCATATTTACGCCCATAGCAGCAAAAACTATAGCAAAGTTATCCGTGTCAGAGTCCAAGACGGATTTATTGGGAAGTTTAACCAAGCCAGCCTGCCGACAGATCTGAGCAGCAATTTCATTATGCGGAAGGCCAGATGCGGAGAATATTGGAATTTTCTGGCCTCTGGCAATTGAATTCATTATATCTATGCTGGAAATTCCGGTCTGGATCATTTCTTCAGGGTAGATCCTAGACGATGGGTTGATAGGTTGACCCTGTATGTCCAAAAAATCCTCAGCCATAATAGAAGGGCCACCATCCTTTGGCTTTCCAGACCCATTAAAAATTCGCCCTATGAAATAAAAGTCATTATAAAAGCTAACCTAACATATCCTCAGAGACGGGAGTACGAAGGATATCACCAGTAAATTCGCACGTTGTGTGTTTGGCATCAATTCCACTAGTCCCTTCGAATACTTGGACGACAGCTTTACTGCCACTGATTTCTAAGACTTGACCGCTCCGAGTCGATCCATCAGCCAATGTCAAGTGCACTATTTCAGCATATTTAGGAAACCGGATCTGATCCAGTATGACAAGAGGACCATTCACACCTGACACAGTCTTGTACACTATAATTTTGTAGCATATACATATATTAACAACATACTAATGCGGGGTTGGGAAATATAATCCCTACTGGCAGCCTGGGCATGCTGAAAATTGGCAAGACTGGAAGCCATTAGAGAAGGAGGATGATGGATAAATCTGGCGCCCTGTTGTTGAGGTCCAACGAAACGAAGACAGGAAATCTTTCATTATGACGTAATCAAAGTGTACGATATAAAGTTTTACCGAAAATTGTGTATTTTAAAAAATTGGACCATTTAAAACATTCATATTAAAGTTATAAAAAAGATTAAGTTCTTGCATTGAACAATCCTCACATTCATGATGGGTTAATTTTTATATAAAAAAGAACAATGATTTTGAGTAATTAATATATACATTTTTGTGTGTAAATATTTACAGAATGTAGTGCTAGTAGACTAGCCATTATTTTCAAGATACACCATACAACTATTTTATCCATTCATATCAAAGCAAGATTCCTCGATGAACTTTATAGCAATATTATCACAGGTATAAGACCTGGATCTAAAAATTTTATTATACATTAAGATTGATGGAGTTGTTTGCGAATGGGCTAATCTAAAATGAAAAATTAAAATGAAATAGTTTGCATGCCAACTAGGAATATACGT